CAGCACTGATCCCTGCTGGGGTTGGGTCTGCAGGGTTGATCCCTGCTGGGATTGGGTCTGCAGCATTGATCCCTGCTGGGATTGGGTCTGCAGCATTGATCCCTGCTGGGATTGGGTCTGCAGCATTGATCCCTGCTGGGGTTGGGTCTGCAGCACTGATCCCTGCACGTCTCCTCCCAGAAGGAAGCAGGGATGTTATTCCACCCAGGTGGAACCTTTTCCTGCGAGAAGCACCAAGCAAAACCCAAACAAAGTATGTTTTATCAAATGCCATCACATGCCCTGACCAAGAGCCACTGGGGGCACTGGCAGCCCCTGCCAGTACRGTATGGATTCACCTGACAGCCGGTGCCCTGTGAGTGCAGTTCTGTGCAACGCTAAGAAATGCCAGAGTGAGTTGTCAGGAAAAGCTCTTGTTGTCCCCAAGAGCCCAGGTGTCATCTTTCCCAAACATAGGAGAGCCCACTCTCATTGCCCACACTGGAGACATGAATCACAATAGAGCAGAATGGTAGGAGAACATTGCTTTGCTCTGTAAGTGGAGCCTGAAACAGGTTATTGAATGGCACTGCTCTCCCTGCTGTCACTGGGAGTGAGGACGGTGGGGTAGAAGAGAAAGCAGGGTGTTCTGGAGGCAGGTGGAGCAGTTGGGTCAGGTGAGGCCAGGCAGGGGACGAGCAGCTCCTTATCCAGGGCTCCTCAGTGTGGGCTATGCAGAGAGAGGRTCTGTATCTCTGGCTGTCACCCAAAGGTGGGCAGGGCTGGTTCTCCAAACCCTCTGCTGTAGCCTAGCATTGATTCCCTCCTCTCCCCCAGCCTCCATCGTGCTGCAGAAATGGTGGTGCCAGATGGAACCTTGTCTCGATGGGGAGGAATGCAAAGTGCTGCCTGACCTTTCTGGATGGAGCTGCAGCAGTGGCAACAAAGTGAAGACGACCAAGGTACATCCCTGGCAGGTGATGGGGGACCCCAGCCTGGGGCAGCAAAACCCAGAAGAGCATCCTGTAACAGTTCTGTGGGGAAGCAGAGAGCTCCAGGGCACACACTGTTTAGTGAGGATGCTCCAGAGCAGAGCAGAGGGTCTGGGCTGTGCTGTTGTCWCCGGTGCTGGAGGGGCTGGCGGGCGTTCCACAGCCCAGAGTGGATCYCACAGCTCTTCCAGTTGATAATTCTTGCTGGGAGGTTTAGTGAGGAGGGTGTGGGATTGCTCAGCTCCTGAGCAGGCGTACCAGGAATGTCTGTAACAGCCCAAAGCTCCCAGGATTGCTGGTCCAGGTTGCTCCCCAGCTCCTGGGGCAGCAGGTTGCCTTTCTCAACCCCATGGCACAGTCCCCATTCCCCATCTGAGGAAATCATTTGTGACAGAGCACTACGTGATTATTATTTTCATGGCTTGAGGAATGCCCCAAAGAACAAGGTGTAATTAAAATTCTATCAAAATCATTAGTAATTACATATATGCCATGGTTAATCAGTTGCATAATTTTGTAATCATTGTTCATACTGTTGAGTGTAATTATTCCTTATGCTTTCATTTTCCTCACCCCACATCTCCTGCCACAAAATTATTGTATTAAGCAATGTCAGGATTTTTTTCATTGCTGCTATTATTTTTGTGCACAGAAAGTACTTTCATGCTGAAGTGTTTTTATGGACATCCAAGCAGGTTCCTCCAGCCTTGGGCATCCATCACTGACCAGTAACTGCAGCACTRCATTGAGCTGGTTGTCTTTTTACCATTTTAGTGTTGTTTGGTTGGTTTCTCCCAGATACTAACTTAGCCCAAAGTCTCTGCTCTGGCTTTGCTGTCTTGAATTCTCACTGGGACCATTCCCATCTGGAGTAGAAGTAGGACTCTGGAGCTTCTGCTCTCCTCCCTCATCCAGCAGACCCCCCCATGGCCATCCTTTTTTGGGTACTGTGCCCTCCCTTAGGGAGGTGGCAGTTTGGAAACATAGACCCATGTTTTCAAAAGGATTTTTGGTAACTTGGATGACTTTAGTGACTTTGGAATGGTGCCGAAGGGTAGGATTTGCATCTCAGTCCCCTGTGCAGACAGACCTCAGTGGGAGCTGCAGCCAATCCTGCAGCACAGGAATCACAAACCATCCGTAAGGTGACATTTGGAATGACCACTCCATTAAACAAAAGTTAAAAGGCAAATCCTATTTGCACGTCTTGAAGCTGTTTGCTGATAATTCATGGCTGGAGAATCAGCTGTCTCCACTGGATAATTTCTCCTCTCCTCCACAGGTCACTCGATAGCCTCGGAGCAGTGCAGCCCTGGCTGAGCCTTGGCGTGGCTCAAAGTTCGATGTGGCCCAGAGCCAGCAGAGATGGGACGCTCCAGAGCTGCATGGGATGCTGTCCTGCAGCCCAGCAGGACTGGGACAGGTACTGGGTCAGAGCATCCACTGAGCTCCAGCTTCCCCAGAGGCTGCAGCAGGGACCCCAGTGCAGCTGCAGACYCCTGTCCCTCCACAGTTTCATCCTTTTCTGTGGTCACGTTCACCAAAAAACGGGCTCCTACTCCAATCCTCCAACCGTGTAAGAGCTGCTGACCACAGAGACAGACATGCAGCAGGCCCCCAAAACGGGCTTTAATCTGAGTATCTGAAATCATTGCTGCAAGTCCCCTTTCCTTATCTCCCAAGATGCTGAATCCAAGTTGCTGTCAGGAATTGGGACRTCAATGGTTTTGTGAAACCCTTGGGATGGGCTCTTGGCTCCAGGGGTTYCTAGGAGCAGCCACTGAGCTCCAGCCTGATCCTGAGTCACTGGCTCCCACATGGAACTCGTTATTGAGATGTTTTTGTAATGGGGTATGTGCTACCCTCTCCAGATGTAAATAACAGACTGTGAAATAATAAATTCATTTTAATCTCTGCAAAGGATCTTTTCATTCAGCAGTGAAGGGAAGCTCTGGGAGTATTTCTCATGCTGACTGGATCTGAGRTGGAGGGCCTGGGGACCCTGCCCTGGCCATTCCAGTCTCAAGCAGYTTGTGCAACAGTGGCTCTGGAGGAGAGCTGAAAGCATGTTGTGGCCAGCAAAGGCTGATTAGCTCAGAGGGATCCTAAAGAAAAGTGCCTTAATTTCTGTGGGATGCTTTGCTGAGAGCGTGTCCTGTCCCTCCTCCACCTTTGTGTGGGAGCTCCCACTGCTGCAGTGCCATGTCCCCACAGATCCACCCCTAGCCAAGGCCAGACTGGGATTGTAAGGTCCCCACCCAGAGTCCTGGTCCTTCTGAGAGCCCAGACTGCTGAGTGCAGAGTGGGATCTGTTATTTCTGGCAGCAGACTTGGGCTGTAGATGGGAGCATCCCTGCTTGGCTGAGCATTCTCATAGCTGGCTCATAATGTGAAGGATCCACTCTGCAGAAGTGTTGAGCTTGACACCCACATTGGTATAAACACATTTCATTGTCTGCATAATAGGCACCCTTGAAGCTTATTTTTCACTTACTGAAGTCCACAGTTTGATGAGGAAATAGCCCCTTGGTGTCTCTGCTGAGTGCTGCCCTCGCTGCTATCACACCATCAGAGTACACAAACACTGCAAATTGCTGCTTCTCTCCTGGCACGTAAATGCATTTCCAAAGAAAGCACTGCAGCTGCAGGACTGCTGGGGTTATCTCTGCCTCCTGAGCAGCCAGGGAAGGATGCTCCTGCACAGCTTCTAGCCTTCTGCCCTTCTTCCACTCACTGTATTTTCAGTGCTTTCCTTTGGCCAAGCAGGCAAACACTCCTAGCAGGAGCAATGAGCCGAGGAAGAGGATGATGGTGGTGGGAACATCTCTGGGCTGAGRCAAGGACTTTGATGCTCTGTGTCTTCACTGCCTCAGTGGGACAATGGCAGCTGTGTGCTCTCCAGCTACCTGAGACACCCTGATCCCTTCTCTACCTGGACCTGCAGCWGCAGCAGCGTGGAGACCCCAAGCTCCCCGCCCTGGTCCCAGATCCACCGTGCCCAAATCCCCATCTTAGTGGGGAAGAGGACGCTTCTGGTGCAAAGCTCCACCTTGCACATCTGTGCAGTAACTGATTTGAAGGTGCCTGAGGGGTGATTAGTCAGAGGAAACTGTCACAGTTAACGTACTTTCAATATCATCTCCCTGGGTATTATAATTATACCCCATTCAATTAGTCTGCAGAAGAAAAGGCCTTTTGTATTAAGATTTGGTGGARAATTATTAAAGAGTGAATTAAAAGACAAGGATTCCATTTTACCTCAAAATACTAAAAGCATAATGTATGAAATACCCCCAAATTACAAGCTGACTAAATTTAGAGCTGTGCTAGGAGGTGAAATGAAAGGTAAAATGAAACCCTTTGAGCAACCGCAATGTGCAGTACAAGGTGGGGTATTATCAGAGAAATTAGATGGAAACATAATTAACAACCCAGCATTATGAAGAAAGATGGCAAATTGGAATGGGGACAAAATTAGGAGAAGCTACAGAGCAGATTCATTTGTTTCTGCTTTATGAATCCATGCTAGCAGTCAGCAGTGATGCCAAACCATCCCAGAGCAGCAGCTTTCCAAGGAATGCTGTTCATTCCTCACCTTGTCTGGGCTGGGGCTGCTGTGCTCACCTGATGGTGAACTGGGTGACACTGCAGGAGAAAGTGGTGCCTCCCAGGGTCACATCTTTGGTGCCTTTTCCTTTTCCCAGCCATGGTGCATTCAGGCCATATCTTGTCTTTTCCCTTCCCCAAAGGCTGGTTCCCTTACCCTGATGCTTTGCTGCTCTAAATTTGCCACCCTTGTGACTTCTGCTCGTGTTGCTCCAGCAGCATCTCATGGGGAACCTGCCAAGAGTGGCCTCTTGCACGGATGAGCTGAGGTCCAGTTTAGAGCTGGAGGACCATTTTCTTTAACTGTGCCCAATTTCCTCCTCTCAGGCTKAATTGGCTCCTGTTCCCTGTAACCACTGCCCTGTCCACCCTCCTGCATTGCTCTGCTTGCTCCTCTCTGCCCATTTGCTTTATTGCTGCTTTTCAATGAATTCAAACAAGAAAAAAATTATCTTTTTCAGAAGTAGGAAGATTTTTGTTAGAATCATCTCAGCTATGCAAAACATCCCTGTGTATCTGCCATGCTATGTTTAGGAATGGAGAAGCCCAGAATTAGCTTATCAGATGATAAGCAGAGTCCATCTTGCCCACCTTACGGGATTCACAGATGTGGCAGGTGCATGTGGCTGTTCTGGCACTTGTGTGTTCTGTGTGTTTGGACATTAGCACGAGTCAGGTTTTTTCTACTTTGCCAATACCTTTCACTAAGAAACTCTTTTTTTTTTTTCTTTTTCTGTATTTTTTTTTTTTCTCTCTGGCATGTTTGTAAGTAGATATATCCCTGTTTTGGGGATGTGAAGCAGATGGCTCCAGCATCCAGRTATGCTGCCCCATCCTGCCAGCACTCAGGACAGAAGCCAACAGCAGCCACAGGATAYAGGGATRTGTGACTGCAGGGCCATGGGGCCAYGGGCACCTTCCCCATTGTCTCTCATGCCATGGAACTCCATTAGAATCACCAAGACAAAAATACAACAGCACAGTGTTTGCTCTGGTTAACACGCTGTGATGGGGCTGTTTGAAGCTCTAGACGGCTCTTCCAAAAATGCAGCCTCATGTTTTATTCAAATGTGCATTTGTGGAGATGTTCTTAAGGGAAAGAATAAAATATTCATTCAGATGCTACTGTGCAATAAAAAGCAGAACCAGGGCTGAAACCTCACTACTGGATCAGAGCAGAGCTGGCCCCGCTGCCGGCAGCCTGACTCCTGATGCATCTCAGGAGGATCTCTGGGAATCACAGAATCATAAAATAYCCTGTTTTGGAAGGGACCCACAGTGAGTGGGGGATGGTGGCCCTTGCTGCCACCTGCTTAGGAGACCCCAACCCTCTCCAGGGGCTCTGGCACAATCCTCCATGCAGAAGTGCTGGATCCATCTGGCTCTGGAATATCACTGGTGAACAGGGTGGTGAGCAGAAGCTGTGGCTGCCCAGTCCCTGGAAGTGTTCAAGGCCAGGTTGGACAGGCTTGGAGCAATCTGGTCTAGTGGAAAGTGTCCCTGCCCAAGGCAGGAGTGGAACTAGATGATYTTTAAGGTTCCTTCCAGCCCAAACCATTCTAGGATTCTACAATTCTGCTGATGGCCATTTTCCTCTGTGCAGGGTCAGTCCCTCTGTGCCACACTCAGGCAGGTGATGTGGGACAGTCTGGGGAGCTCTGCAGAGATGGCACTGTACCAGAGAGGGCTGCCCATGTCCCATTTTGCTGCAGGCAAAGCCCCATCCATCCCTGATTCCATCCTGAGCTGGCAGGAAAAATCAGGAGTCCCAAGTGCCATGTCCCCCCTGTCCATATCCACATCTGGATCCATGCACTTGGCAAAGCCAGCTCACAGAACCACAGAACCCTGCTCTCCTCTCCCCAGGAGAAAGGCATATGGACATGGGGGGCTACACGGGTATAGGCTCACCCTGGGCAGAGTCTGCTTACTACCTGCATCAGGGATTAAATAGAGGCTCATTTTTATAAAGTGATTTCTAGCCTTGTTTCCCTGCTGGAGTGGCTGCARTGGCCACAGCAGAAACAGAGCCATTGGCTGGGGCAGAGCAGAGAGGGAGGATGCAATTTAATTTGTGCATTTCCCAGCTTGKTAATCTCCTGACTTACTGCTGTTATTTGATTTCTGTAGCATCGCTTCATAATAAAGGGATTATCCTGGACCATAGGTCTGCTCTGATGCTCATCTGCTGGGATTACTGGAAAATTTTGCAGTTAGTTAATCGGTCAAGTAGGTAGAAATGAAAATATGTGCATATGTGTGGTTTTGTTGACATTTGCAGGAGCATTCAGTCTGTGATCTAGCACTGGCTCTCCTATCTGTTCAGCATCCCCTGCTCCATGTCATGGGGGCTCTGATCTGCTGTTTCCTSTTTCATAGGGTTTCCAGTCCCCTGGTCCCCATCTCACAGGGGTCCCAATCCCTAATGTTGGGTCCAGAGCCCCAGAGTGAGGAGCCCCAACCCCTGTCCAGTGTCAGGCTGGTGGATGCTGGTGACAGCCAAAGCTGGGTGTGCTCAGGAGTGCCTTGGGCAGTGTGTAAAACCCCTGTTAAATGTGGTTTGAATGTTTCCTGTGCACATCAGTGGCACCAGAGGTTAATGCAATATTAGCAGGCTGGCCTGGATATGAGTAAGTCAGACATCCCTAATAAATGCCTGCTCACTAAAAGCACAGGGCAATTAGCACATGCTCCATTTCCTTCTAATGATGTGTTTTACTCTGGTCTCAGCTTCCTCACAGTGTCAGGAGCCAGCTGTGCCTGACTCCTGTGGAATGGTCACCTCCCTTGTGTCACCTTCTCTGCAGTGCTCCCAGCCAAGCCTGGCCCTCTGAGCCACCAGCAGTGAGATCCTGCAGGCACAGAGATGCATAATTGATTTGTTGGTAACGAGATACCGTGCACAGAGCCAGGATTAAGTAATGATGCTATTAAACACTCATGGATGTATTCATATTAGTGAGCTGTAAGTCAATCAATTATTAAATACACTGGGAATCATGTCCTRTGATCATTACAGGGGCTGAGACCATGTTCATTAACAAAAATAAGAAATATTGTGGATAYTCAGTTCTGTCAGAAAAATATTCTATGAGTTGAGAAAATTGCAGGAACTGCAAGGCTGGGAGGACATAAATATGGATCAGCAGGGTTATTACATACCAGTACCAAGGGACAAAATTAGTGTTTAAAATTCCCTGCAAAGACAAAATGTAAAAGATGAAAACTTTTGCAATCATTCGTAATAACAAAATTTTGATTAGAAAGCCAGGATCATGTATAAGTTACTGAATCCACACTCTGG